GTAGCTTGACCCCAGCTTCTGCTGGGTTCTCAGAGGTGAGGCCATCTGTGGCCACAGCCCTGCCTGGAGCTGGTGGCTCAGAGCTCGGGGCTGCCCGAGCTGTGGACTCCATCTCGGAGGCCCCAGACTCCCTCGTGGCCACTTCTGAGTGGGCTGCGCACTGCCCATGCTCCTCACAGCAACAGCACTCACCATGGCCGCCTGGCGCCTCTCACCCTGGGGCCCCACCCGGGCTCAGGCCCGTGTGGCTGTGGCTGCTGGCCTCTCAAGGTGTCCTTGGGCTCTGCCCGCTGTCCTCCCCTCAGGCCCAGGGAGGGGAGCAAGGAGAGGGCGGGTGCGCGCAGCAAGCGGGCCCTGGAGGAGGAGGAGTGTGGCACGGAAGTCCTGTCCAAGAACAAGCAGAAGAAGCAGCTGAGGAACCCCCACAAGACCTTCGACCCCTCTCTGAAGCGTAAGTGCTGCTTCCGCTGATGGGCCCGAGAGAGCCTCTTCATCACCCCCATCCTCCCTGTTGCCAGTGACAGGAACCTATACTTGCGGTCAGCAAGGCTCAAGGCCCAGAGCTGGAAGCAGATGCCTGGGGGCCTTGGCAGAGTGGTCAGCCAGACCTGGGGCCTGAGCACAGGGAACCTGTGCAGGCCACAGCCCAGGCATGTGGGACATGGGCTCAGTGAGTCAGATGGGGCTGTGGGACAAGCCCCTCAGCCAGGTGCCACCCAGGTGGCCACCGAGGGGCTCGTCTACAGCTCAGGGCCTCGGGTCCCTGCAGCTGTCCCTGCCCAGCCTCACACAGGACGCCTGAGAGGGAGGCTGGGGTCCCCGCGAGTGTGTGCTGGGCCAAAGGTGCCAGCAGGGTGCGCTGGGAGAGATGGGATGAGGCTGCTCACCCCTCTCCTCTTGGCCACCAGCGGCAAGGCCTCAGCCCAGTGCCGTCTCCCCTGAGACCCCTGTGCCGTATCCTGGGCCAGCTCATCTGGGCCCTCAGCAGGTGGCAGCCTCCCAGATTTCTCTGACAGCTTTACAAGCTGCAGCGAAGACCAGCGATGACCCTGAAACCTTCCCATGTAACCCCCAGGGCGCTGGCCAGTCCACAAGCAGCTGCCACGTCAGCCTGGTGCCAGCAGTCCCCACCTGCCACACTGCCCCCTAGGCCACCGCATGAGGCAGCTGGGAGAGGCAGGAAGTCAGTCTTTGGGTTGAATTCTTGATTTGACCCTTCTTGGCCCTTTTGCTTGGGAGACCTGGAACTGAAGGGCGTGGAACCCCCCCTTGGACCCTGTGGGCGGGAAAACAACTCCCCTTGTCCCTGCCTGGGGGTGGGACAGATGAGGCTGCTTGTCCTGCTGGGGCCCCCCAGACCACCTGTTCCGTGTCCGTTTCTTGCAGGATGGTGCCCCCCGCATCCCCTCACCCATTGCTCGCAGAAGAAAAGCAGATGTGGCCAGCCTGTATCCTCTGCCCTCCCTGAGCCTCCTGGCCTGGCTGGCCACAGCTGGCACAGACGCTGTCAGCAGGCTCCATGCAGGCGGACGGGGCAGCCCCCACAGCCAGGCCACCCCGGCCCTCACTCACCAGCACCCTTTTGTTCTTTTCCTAGCAAAATATGCAAAGTGTGACCAGTGTGGAAACCCAAAGGTGAGCGGGTTCCGGCCACATGCCACCAAGGCTTCAGCTCTGGTGGGTGGGCAGGGTGGTCTCCCCACTCGGAATAGCAGGTCTGGTGCCCGCCCAGCTGGGTTTGCAGTGTGGCCCAAGGTGGCATGGATGCCTCAGGACGGCTCCTTGCTTCCAGCCAAGCCCCTGCCCAGGACTGGAGTGGGAATAAGTCTGGGTGGTTGGGTGAGGGAGAGGCACCTGGCTTGGGGGCGGTCCCCAGGGCTACATCCAGGCCGTGGGCATCTGGCAGAGACTTGCCCAGCGGGGCTGCTCCCCTGCTGGCCAGCCTGGCCCCAGGAGTGGTGCTGGCCACAGGCTCCCAAGCTTTCCTGTGCCCAGGGCAACAGATGTGTGTTCAGCCTGTGCCGCGGCTGCTGCAAGAAGCGAGCCTCCAAAGAGACTGCGGACTGCCCAGGTGAGGGCGCCTGCCCCCCGCCCCGCAGCAGGCAAACAGGCCCCTCCGCCTCCTGACCCCCGACTCCTCTCACTCGCTCTGCCAGGTCACGGATTGCTTTTTAAAACCAAACTGGAGAAGTCTCTGGCCTGGAAAGAGGCCCAGCCTGAGCTGCAGGAGCCTCAGCCGGCAGCACCCGGAACACCAGGTGGCTTCTCCGAAGTCATGGGCAGTGCCCTGGCCTGAAGGCCCAGAACCCCCACCCCCAGGACTGCTGCTGGAGCCTGGACACGTCCTACTTAAGGAAACGCCTTTTACTCAGGGAATCTCCTGCTACTTAATGTGGAAAGACACGCCCATGCCCCCCTTCGGCCCACTCTGGGGCCTGGAGATGCTGCAGTGGGGAGCAGGCCCCAGGCTGGACCTGCCCTGTCCTCAGCACGCGTGTGCAAAAGCGAACAATAAATCATTTCAAAGATGCAAGAGCCCACAGCCTGTGACCACCGCCCCCCAGACCCACGGAGGCACGAGCCGGGGCAGGTGCGGTTGGGGCTAGTGGGGGCTTCTGAACAACTGGATACGACTAAGTGAAGGCAGCGCACGGCATCTGTGCAGAGGAAAGTGGGGGCTTAGGTCCCCTCCCCGCCTCCCCTAGGCGCCTCCATAGGCAAGTGGCCAGAGCCTCCGGGAGCTTCCTGATGCCGCACAGCCTTGGAAGCACAGCCTGTGGGCCACAGTGGCCGCTGCTGGGGGCTATTGAGCCCGCGGGCCAGGCTGCCCATTTGTCTCACCAGGCCCTGCCTCCAAGCCCAGCCCCAGGGAGACAGCCCTCAGGAATTCCTGCACAGCAGGAAAGAACAGCCAAGGGCAACACTCAGTCTGCTTTTTAATGGATACTGCCCACTTGTCTGCACCTGACCAAGGCGGGAACAGGAGGGGTCTGGGAAGTGGTGCCGCTGCGCCTGGGTGCCGCACAGTCTGCTCCCTGGGGACAGAAACCCACAGGGTCGAGCCCTGCAGGCCTCTCCTTCCAGGAAGGGCCACAACTAGCAGCCGCCTGCCTCCCCTGCCCCAGCAAGGGCATGCAGGCTGGGGGGCACCCAGGGGCCAGGCCTCTTAGCTGGGCTGCAGGCAGCACTGAGCCGCCTGGAGGTCAGGAGGTCCGTGGAGATGGGGAGGGGGTGCAGATGTCCTGGAGGCCAAGGTCCACCCCTCACATGTTGGTGCTCATCCGAGACTGGCTGTTGGCTGGAGTCAGCTCCCCCTGGCTCCCTTCTCTGGGCGGGGACTGCAGGGGAGACAAGCAGCAGTTCAGCCACCAGGCCCCACACACTGTGCACCCGCCCACTGACGCCTGCCCACCTTGACGTGGATCTGGTTGCGGAGCACAGCTGCCCGCAGCATCATGGCCTTGGCGCGGCGCTGGAACTCTTTGCCCATCAGCAGAGACTTCTCAAAGGTGGTGCTGCGCTGATCCACATCCCGGGCGTAGAGGATCTGTGCAGGCACAGGCTCAGCGGGGCCCAGGCTCACCCCCAGCTGCCCCCACAACCCTGCAGCCCACAGCCACCTTGCTGTGCGAGTCCACGCGGGCACTGATCAGCCCCTCCAGGATGAGCTGTGTCAGCTCGTCCTCCAGGGCAGCCACTGTGGTGTTGAAGGCCGCCGCCATCCTATGCATGTCGGCTGACACGTAGGGGCTGAAATACTGCAGGGCGGAGGGAAGTCAGCTCCACAGCCCCCTGTATGCCCACCTGCCGTGTGCCAGCCTGACCCCCACATTACCTGGATGAGGGCACGGTTGCGAATCTGGGTGTACAGGGTCCTGACGTGGGGAGCCAAATACATGTCCAGGAGCAGGTTGTCCTAGGGAAGAGGCTGGTGAGGACCAGGACAGGAGGCCAGGCAGAGCCCCCCCTCACCCCCACGCCAGGCAGGACCCCACCTTCATCTCGTCCAGCATCTTGAGGCACGAGGCGTACTTGGACTCGTAGAACTTGAAGATGATGTCTCGGACCTGCGGCTCCAGCTCCAAGAACAACTTGAAGGAGCTGGCGGGGCACACCCCTCAGAGCTCTGTCCTCTGCCTGCCCCTCCCTCCAAGTGGCCAGTGGTTACACCAGTCCCCAGACAAAACACCTGAGGACACGGCAGGGCCAGGGGTCCGGCACGTGCAAGGCCAAAGCGGCAGCCGTGGAGAGGGACAGGGACTGCCGGACCAGGGCACCCACCTACTGGAGATGACGTTGCGCTGCAGCTCCTGCCGGTCAAAGGTAGCCAAGGCGCACAGGCCACCGTAGATGGCCACGTTGCTGGGGGACAGCAGCTGAGGAGCAGAGACCTGGTGTCAAAGAAAGTGAAGGGCCAGGCCACCCCTGCCTGCCCATCACCCACTCAGAGAACGCCTAAGACCCCGTTTGTGAGAAACCTCACCCTCCTACAAAAGCAGCCCAACCCACGAACCCGTGCTCTGCCTCCCAAGTCCCCAGGAGGGCTCCTCACCTCAGGGAAGTCGCAGTGATCAAAGGAAGCCAGCAGGAGGCACTTGGCAGCCTGCTTGTACTTCCTGGCAGCCAGCTCCGCCAGACCTAGTGGAGGGAGCCGGGGGCAGCGGGGAGAGGGGGTGAGACCCAGAGCCTGGGGAAACCGCTAAAGCCTGGAGACCAGGGAGAACGCGACCACCAGCCGGCTCGCTGGCCTCTCCTGCCCCAGGAGCTGTTCCTCAGTGCTGGGCACAGATACCCTAATCATGTGTGGAAACAGCCCCGCCAGTGCCAAGCAGGTTCCCCGAAGCCAGGCGTGCAAGGAAGCTTTAGGTGCTAGCATGGCTGCAAAGGACACCCAGGCTCAGAGCAGCTCGGGCTGGCAGACCTGCCTCAGGCCCACAGTGACAGCAGCCAGACCCTGACCACACATCACCCACTGGCTTCCCCAGGGCAGACTTTAGGCGCCACCTACACCCGCACATGTGCCCCACAACATCCTGCGCCCTGCCAGGGAAGGTTTCCCTGGCTGAGGCAGGGACCAGCCTACTGCCCTGGGCTGGAAGAGCAACACACATTGAACGTGGGGCCAGCTGGGCATGACCCAGGCCCTCACCTGCGGCACACTTGAGCTTGGTGAGGATGGCCTGGGTCTGGCTGTCACGCTCTCCTCGCTGCTGTTGGGGGAAGCCACATGCGTGAGGCCCACGCCCCACATTTCCTGGAGCTCGATGCCCAGCCCCCAGACAGAGAGGGGATGAAGGCAGATTCAGATTTGGGGGAGAATGAGGTGGGGGAGGATAGGAGGGGCCAGCAGTGGTCAGCAATCCTGGGGCAAGGTCTCTGAGGAGGTGGCCCGTACCTCAGCAATCTCCGGGGTAGACTCAGCCTTGCTGACATAGCTAAGCACATGAGACCAATTCTGTAAGTAGACGCTGACCTGGTGGACAAGGGGGCAGGGCCAAGTGAGCCTAGGCGCTCCGATGGCCCAGCCATGCTGCCCCCAGCCGAGGCAGGCCGACCTTGATGACGTTGAGGCACATGTTGATGACGTGCTTGGCGCTGGTGCAGTAGTCCCGGGCCCGGGAGTAGCACTTGAGGGCGTTGCTGAGGTCCCCACAGTCCAGGTAGTGGTCGCCCAGGTCGTCGTGGCCACGCCGGATGCTCTCCTTGATGGAGTTGCCTTTGTAGTTCTTCAGGTCCGTGTCCAGCTTCTCCAGCTTCAGCAGGGCCTTCTTCCGCGTGGCCTCCACCCAGGCCGTGTCCAGGGGTGGGGGCTCCACGCCACTCTCAGGGATGGCGTCGGGTGCGTTCTGCAGCTCCCTGAGAGAGGACCTGGCCATCAGGATGGTGACGGTCACAGGGGCCAGGGAGGAGGGGAGGAAGCCGCCAATCTCAGGCTGCCCTCAAAGGCCCAACTGGCACACAGGTGGGCACCTCCCACTAGCCTCAAACCCCACCTCCAGGGACCAGTCTGCACCAGGGACACAGAGAGAACTGCTGCCCCCAGGAGCCTGCAGCCAGGTGGGGAAGCCAGCAGGGAGGCAGCCCCTGAGCCACAGTCTCCAACAGCTCCCCTTGGAATCAAATCCCTGCGTGCACACACACAGGGCACTTCTACTCCTGGCCAAGAGACAGCGAGAAACCTACCTGCCCAACTTCCCAGCGCAGGGGTGGGAGTTGCAGGACACAGGAAGGGGGCCCAGCCCCAGGCACCTGCTCCCTTGGTGGCCTCTACTTCCTCTTACCAAGCCCCTGGCCTCACCTGGTGGCCTCTGAGAGCTTGCGGTGGATTTCCTCATACATGTCCACATTAAAGGTTCTCTGCACGAAGGACAGGGCCATCTTCAGGGCCTCCACCCGCAGTGTGGGGCAGTGATCAGCAATGAACTGCAGCCGCTCGATGCGCATCAGGCCGCTGTAACTGGCTGCGTACTGCTCCAGATCCTGGGAGCGGGTGCACACCAGGGTCAGGCAGGGTGTGAGGCGGGACCCTGGCCCCAGGCCCTGAGGGTCAGGAGTCGGGGCCTGACTGTCCTAGCCAGAATGTCACCCTGGGCCCATAACCGGAACCGGGCATGGGGGTACGAGACTGACTGCTGGTCCAGGCCCTGCAGAGACCCCTGGGGTGGGCCTGCGGTAGGAGCCTTGGGAGTGGGGCTCTGCACTGGGGGGGTTCGGGAAGGGACACTGACTGCTGGTCGCTAGGCTGAGTGGGGAGGAGACCTGCCCTGGCTTCTCCATCAGCAGTGTCTGAAGCTGGGCCACAAGCCTCACGTGAGTGAGCAATCAGAAATCCTGATGGTTTTCGGATCAGGAAAAGAGAACAGAGATCACTGAGAAGGATCATTCTACCTGCTGTGCAGGCTGCAGTGGGGAGTCTGCCCTGGACCCCTCAATAGGACTGAGACACCCAAGGTTCCCCCACTGGGCTCCGTACCAGGCTGGGGTTCTCCACCACGTAGTTGACGTCGGGTGCATTCTGTGGGTCTTCCTGGGGGTCCACGTCGATCTGCATGGGCTCCACAGCCCCCTGCAACATGGGCCAGGCACCTGGCACCTCGTCCTGGGGACTGCCCCAGGAGGGCGAGAGACCCGCACTCTTCTCTGAGGTCAGCTCCGCCCGAGATCTTCAGGCCAATCGGACCACACTCCCGCCGCTGCTGTCCCCCAGGCGTGCCCTCCCAGTCACCCTCGCCCCCAGCCAGGCTCCTGTGCCACCACATTCAGGGAGGGGTCTCCTCACAAGACTCTAAGGCTCAGAAGCAGAAACCCCTCGCCTGATTCTAGTCGCTCGTCTCTGAAAGCCAGAAAGCAGACACGGGACAACCAACTACACAGGGACCGAGAGCCGCTACACGTTCCCAGCCACCATCCTGATGCAGTTTCCTCCAAGCCACGGAGAAGAACGGGACGCCACCTCAACCCCACGAGGCAGGAGGACCAGCCCCCGGAATCTGTCCGGAGCAGCAATACTGGGCTGAGAATCACGCCACAGGGTTGGGAGAAGGGGAAAAGAGTCATCTCAGGGAGCCCCACGGCCCCCAGCTGGGGGACACAGAGGAGCCAGGACCTCGGCTTAAAGCAGGCTGGAAAAGCAGCCATGCCGGGCACCCGCCGGACC